TTTAGTTTGTCTATTCAATCTATACCAATAAGGTCTAAATCATGTTTGCTCATTAAATAACAATTTCCTTTGAACTAGTTATCACGGGATTCAACAGAGGATTTTATTATTTCAACAAGATTTAATATGTCTCCAGATGCATTATGAGCTGTGTACTCAGTTGGCAGTACTTGTGAACAACCAATTAAATTCCATACTCGTTTAGAGATTAACGTAATATCTGATATTGTAGCGAATTGCAATCGAATATAAACACCATTAACCACTAATTCCACGAAACTTAATTCACACTGTTATCTTGATCTTTTTTGTTAACTGGTTATCTTGATTATTATTGGTTTGTTAACTGTTTCGGTAGGACTATAATTTATGAACGACCTTTGAGCAACGCTGAAGTGACCTCGAGAGTGAACAACTAATTTGAACTAAATGAGGGTTACAAAGCAGTTAGAATTCCCATTTAATGGTTATAGTTAAAATTAGACTTAGGGTTTTCATCACGGATGAGCATCAGCTATAATGTCAAAACTCTATTTAGCCAAATGTATGGATGAATTTCGCTCTTGAATTCGTGACTCGTTATCTTATATCTGATTGGTCCGTCCATAAATTATAGTCTCGCCACGGTTTTTTTTAATTCACTGTATTTATTTTTCATCCTACACAACTTCGTTTTGTTTTTTTGTTATGCGAATACATACAAACATACATACAATTATGTTACGTTGTTTCTTTGCTTGTTTTATTTCGTTTTTTTTTATGATTTCGAATTCAAATGTTCCAAACTGATTTTAATTGTGTGATTGAAGACTGTTTTTATCTGATGATGAAAAGTCTTGGAACGTTATAAATTGATGTTATTCTGTCTACAATGTTAGTCGCTACCCACCTTTGCTTATAATGCTTGCAAATTAAGAAGCATACGCACGAGACCCACATATGTCAATAAGAGACTGATCAATTTCAGTCCTAAAACATCAATGGAAAGATTCAAATAAAACAATATCAAGGGTATTATTCTACTTTGTTTAAGTTTATCTAAGAATAAGAATGTAGAATTAAATTAAATAAAACAATGTCTCAATGAATAGTTTTCTTTCTGTTTATAATTACTTCTTTCATTCACTTTCACATTAATCATCTTTATATCATGTCAGATTGTTTGTTCATTATTGACTTTATAATGTATTAATTATGTGTATAGCAATCATTAATTATTGTGAACACTTTAAAAAAATATGTTTATTATTGAGAAAAACACACTTATCTGCTAATTGAAATAAGAAAAAGAAATTGAATTTAGAAATGTCACTAATTATCTACATTCTTTCATTAGTTTATAGTAAAATTTTCATTAAAATTGACTGTTTTTTTATATATAAAATGATTGTAACGGTTGCACAATTTTGTGTGTGTGTGTGTGTGTGTACAAAAACTCAGTACTAACAGTAGTTAATGAATAAAGTTTCCGGTCAAATAGAAGAGCCTCACTGCAAAATCAACGGTAGTGAGGCTTCAAATTGTTCAAAGATAAATGACATCTTGATAAGATAATCCCGTCGCCAATTGTTATATCTAGAGCTTATATTCTTGATATACCACGTATAACTTGAGCACTCGAACGTTAGAACCCTTCCAAGTCGCAATGAGAAGATAGAAGACTAGTCAAAAGAATGCTATTCCAGACAATATAGACGACAACCCTAGTCGAAAATAATCTCACTTATATATTGATTGTACACACATTTTATCAGAATGAGATTTTGTGGAGATTTTAGGAAATTTTACCGGTTGGAATCATGCGTCAATTGAAACTGGACCACCATGGAGAACCTGGAAGCACTGGACGGCCGTTTCGTCCTAGTATGGGACTCCTCAGTAGTGCGCATTCACGAACCCGCCCCCGCGAGATTAATAATTAGCATAGAATCACAAATTGAGCATAGTTCATGTCAAGTGAAGACAAGAATATCGTATATTAAACAGAATATCATACGAGAAAAGAAAATTACTATACTGAATGATCACATTGAATCAGAAAGTAAGTAACGTTGAACAAAGCTCATAATGAGTAAATCAGTCGAAAATTGATTTTTATTTCCATCATATCACTACATAATAACTTAATACTTCTTTTCACTGTATTACTTTATTTACATTGTAAAAGTGCTAGTTTTGACTTGATTGTTGCTGGACTAATTCCCTTTTTCGATACGAAGGATATATTGTATCCACAGTTGATTTGTTTTTCCCGAGTTAAATATCTCTCCAACAGTTTATTATATTAGTTATTATTAAGTACACAACAAAGCAAATCTAACCTTAATATTTAACACTGTTATACTGTATTACTGATCGTTCTTTGTTTGATATGTACTTTTAAGCAATCTACTGAAACTGAAGCATCTATTTTCTAAATAAAGCAAGAACAAATATTGATGCAGAATAGTATGAATTCATATTATTTCGAGGTTTCTCGTCAGCTGCTTACAAACCAAAAAATGTGATAGAATTTTTACATGGAGATAGAGTGAAAACAATTGACATAAATGAGTGTAAATAACTGGGTTACAATAATAACTATATATATATATGCTAGAAATAGGTCAGAGGTCAAAAGAAGGGGGTTAATCCAGGTTGGGTGGTGTAATAATGCAATTGAATAATCATAAGATAGGTTACGTAATAATAATTAAATAGAATATGAAAAGTTAAGATAATTTAGGAGGATCAGGTGGTGGAAATGCGTAAATAATAATGTGGTTTAAGAATTATGTAATAGGGGAGGAATATAAATATTTAAAATAAATAAAAATAAAATAATAATAATAATAAAGGGTTACCAGGGTAGTGATAAGCTAATTAACGTCTCTTTTTGAATGCATAAGTCAGGTTTAAGTTTTTTGATCATAATAGCTTCAGCAAAACGGAGGCTGGTCGTATTTCTTTGTCTATTGATAACTTTGAATGCATGAGGAATGTCGATGGTGTGTCCGGTGTCAATTAGATGTCGAGCTATTGCACTGTTGAAAGCCCTGGTCCCACGCAGCCTCAAGTTTTTTGGAACGTGCTCAGAAATGCGGACATGTACTCTTCTCTCAGTTCTTCCAATGTATGTGCTTTGGCACGTACATGTAAATTGGTAGATGCAGTTGGAGCTACTAAGAAAAGAGGGCTTGTCGATTTTGGTTTGTTGAAGTGAGCAGTTCGTTTGCCATACTGTCATAAGTTTTGCTGCTGGGTAGGTGACTTTCAACGCAGAGTTTATTCTTTGATTGATTATTCCAGCGATTTCATCACCTTTGAAACGTAAGTGTAAAAAGCAGGTTTTTCTTTCTACTCCATCGTATTTTGTATGAGGATTGATTTTGGCATATTTCTGGATAAATTTCAATGGATATTCATTATCGCGTAGAACATTAGTAATCAGATTAATTTCATCATTAAGGTATTCTTTTGAACAGATTTTTTGAGCGCGGTCAAAAAGGGTTCGTACAATACCTTTTTTGTAACTCATGGGGCAGAAACTGTGGTAATTGAGATAAAGACCACTCCAGGTATTTTTATGGTGAATATGTCTATGTAATTTACCATCAGATGTTCGTCGGATCCCAACATCGAGGAAATGGAATTTGTCTTCAGCTTCTTGTTCCATAGTAAACTCTATGTCCTCGTGTGCTTTATTAAATAGATCGAGTAGCTTAATGGCGTGGTCGTGATTGTTGCAGACGAGGAATGTGTCATCAATATATCTGCAATACAGTGTAGTACCATCGATTACGTGCTTAAGTTTTTTTTGTTCTAGGTTTCCCATAAATATATCGGCAAGAATCGGGCCCAATGGGCTACCCATGGCAACTCCATCGATTTGGCGGTAGAGGACATTATTGAATTGAAATTGTATGTTTTTTGTACATAAGAAGAGAAGCTGTTTAAAATCATGGATTGGTAGGGGTAGAAGTTCAGGATAATCACATATGATCTCTATCGTTTCTTCCAAGGGGATGTTTGTGAAGAGCGATGAGACGTCAAATGAAGCCATAAATTTATCGGAAACATTTAGGTTGTCGAGTTTTTGTACAAATTCAAAACTATCTTTTAGACTGTAAGGAGTTAGTTTCTTTCGTATTGGTTCAAGGCACTTTGTCAGCCAGCGGGCGAGTTTATGGAAAGGCGAATTGGCCATGGATAATATTGGTCTAATCGGGATATTGGGCTTGTGAGTTTTGGGTAGGCCGTATAAGTACGGTAATTGTGATCCTTTAGGTTTAAGTTCATTGTATGTATGATTATCTATTTTCTTATATAAGTATTTTAAGCTAAGTGCTATTGCATCTTGCTTGAAGCATAACTTATGGCGTAGGTGAGATATCCGTCTCCTAACGGTGGGGTCAGTTTACTGTGCAGCAGTTTGCTTCGTTCTATTTTGTGGGTGTAGGAGTAGCCCGAAGAAAGGTAGTGGCGGGCAATCTGAAACTTGGCATCATCAAGTCACTGACAACTAGATTTAATAATGTTAATTGATACAGATCACCTGGTTGGTGTTTGCATGATTATCATAACCAATAGTTATAGATTTCGAATGGCATGTTGCAAAATCGTTTGCAATTGTGCAGATACATCTGATCTTTGTCTTCCCCCAGTTCTGAGCTCCTGAATTCTTCAGTTTTTCGGTTTTTATTTTACTAAATTATACTTTTTCTTCGATGCTTACTATCTCCTATTATCATTGATATTGTTACTACTCTACTATTCTGAGATTTGACCTGATAACATCTCGGTGTGTTAATGGGGTATGGCAACTTGAAACGAAGTACATACCTACAAATTCTACCTTATGACTGATTAACTGGATTATATGTATTAGCGAATCGAATTCGTTTTTCATTCTGAAATAAGCTCCATTATGTGTCAGATTTTTCTTGAATCAGTATGTCAATTCATATATGAAATTCCAGCGCTTTTTCAATAGAAAAACAGATGCATAATAAATTCTGATTTTATTTATTATAAACACGGATAACAGTCCAAATTAAGATTATAGTCGTCGCAGTCAGTACACCAAAACCGATTAAAATGAAGCAGAATATTCCTTGATCATGCATAAAGTAGGTTAAAAACATAAACATATTAGTGTTCATATTTAATGTAAGAATAATATATACGCACACAAATATACTAATCTATTTGAATATAAATATATTTGTATTTATATGACATATGAGCATACGAATAAGTGTAGGGATTTGTGTACATTACGAATCTTGGACCGTTATCAGCTTCGTGAAATTATACAGGACAGTTCTATTTTTCAATATTTTGAATATAATCTGGCAGCTGATTCATAGGTAGGTGGCGATTCCTGGCACTGCTCAAAAGTAAATAAAAAAACTAATGTTGCTTGTTTCTTCTTAAATTGTGTAATTTGTATCTCGGAATGACCTTAGTCAAACAATGGTTGAAGGTTGAGAAACTTAAGATGAGTTTGTAGGTCGTGTGTAGGATTCTTCGGAAGCATGCATTTACGATTTTGCTGGGGATCTAGCCTAGGATATTTCAGGTGTCACATCGTCTGAACTACTGAGTACTCACTCAATTCAATTTGGAATACAACACAAACATCACTGATAATTAATTGCCTCATATCTGATACAACTAAGTTCCACTGGTTGCAAACGTTTCACTAAAACCCTGTGAGTTACTTCTGAATCTCAGTCACTAGTGTTTATATAATTGGTAGTTCCGTAGCAGGTTTTGTAAGAAATGTTGAAGTTTGTGGTCCACCTTTCAAACCAACCTTAATTAGTCAATCGTTTATCAATTAGTGTGAATCCGTTGATGATTACAAACCAATAAATGTTAGTACGTCCATTAAAGTTAATCTTATTTCAAAGATATAGCTTAGCTCCTGATATGAATAGTAGTCTAATCACTTAACTAATTGAGCAATATTTTTTTTCTACAAAATATTCATTTATCTATATCATTAAAACAATATTGTTTATAATAATGAATAAGTAGAATACTCACCTGGACGTTTACGTGCTTTTTGCATTAATGTCAATTTTACTTCTGTATTATCATAAGATTCTCTGTTTCTAGGTTGATAAAAATCGGCATGATCAATGGAATTATCATCTGATTCATCTGTTTCACTATCCATTTCAAAATCTGAATTATATTTTTCTTTAGTCATGTTTTGGAAGAAAATCAAATGTTAATTTCCTAATGAAAATAAGAAATATGAATAATTAGAGAGTAGTTTTGTGTAAATTGTAGTAATTTAATAATTGAATTCATGAGTCAATTGAAACAAGACCATTATGGAATATCTGGAAGTACTGAATGACCATTCCATTCTACTGCAGGATTCCTCAGCAATGTGTATCCACGATCTCGCCTCGCAAAATTAGAACCTAGAACCTATCAGTTTTGCACGTGAACGTTCAACATTCAATATTAGTTCTGAAAGCTTACATTGATCTAAAAAGTTACTAGAAATCTTCAATATTTCGATATTAATGACTGATACTGACCAATCTATGTTAGAATGTACGCTTTCTCAGTAGATTGCTTTGATATAATCTTGTGATTATTACATTTATTATATTTGAATCATTGCTAGTAATGGAATCCAGAACAAGAGTTTTACTCCATTCTCTTGAGCGTACCTATACCACAGTATTAATGTTTATATTGAGACTAGAACCTAGTACCTTTTGTTAAATAAGAAGTGATGGATCTTATTATTTTATTAGCCACAATTCAGTTATACGGTTTTTATTGATGGAAAATTGTTCGCTCGATATATTAGCCATATTTTATTATTTAATATTTGAATGACGGGGAAGATTCATATTTCTTGATGAAGATTTTGGCCTTATTGTGTTCTTTGTGCTAGGTGGCTTTTTCAAATAACTAATTTATCGCAATCATAGGTAGCATTATCTTCATTAAGATTTCTGAGCAAGTATTCCAGTAATTTTGATACCATTACATGGCTGTAACGAATGTGTATACAGTTCACTTCATCCTCAGGAAAATACAACTATAATTGTAAACTGTGTAGTAAAACTTGTAACTACAGTTATTAGTTACTAAGATACTTTTTTTTTTAGTTTTTTTCCTTTTCAAATAATATCCTCCGTGATCTGGAACTTGATCTATTTGTTGAAATAACCGAAATTATTTCATATCTAATCTTATTATGTTCTTCATAGTATTTAACAACGTAAGAATTATGATAAATTACTAATTATTGTGGATATATTTAGCTCGTGTAACGTAATCTGTGATTTAGATAATGGAATATACTAAATATCTGTTAATTTTGATAGTACGTTCTATTCTCATTTACTCAATCTTCGGTACATTTTTGTGTATTTTATTATACTACTTACTCATATTTAGTAACTAATGTGGTTGGTAATCATTTTTGCACAGATAGAACAATACGTACCTTCATTGTTTACAAACTTGTGACATTTTATCTTTTTATTATTGTATATATATATGCTTGACAGCTATTTCTGCTTGTTACATGCTCTTTGAATATTGTTTATCATATGATAAACCTTTATAAGCCATTTACTTTGAAATTAATGATAAATTTCCGTAGTCTACATAATGAACTAGTCTTACATAGAATAAACCTTGTTAACTAGGATACATTAGATATCTGTTTTGTTCTAGGAGTACATATCCATGAACTCATTAGCTATCAGAATTGTTTATTAATATTACTTATTTTCCATATCATGATACGTCTTGGTTTATAAATATTGTCTTTTTATCAATAAATTCTTGTACAATCATGGGATAGTATTATACTTAATAATTCTTATTCACCATTTTGTTTCATTAATAAATAAACTACTAAAAAATACGGTGATAGTAAGATGTAAATATTGATAGTAAAGAGAGTAAAACTACTCCAGTGTTTTCACAAATCAATGAAATTGAACTAGGACATAATGGTTAGATGTATTTATAAGAGGTTTAACGACAAAACTATCGTACTCATCTATTGATAATCTCTCTTTTACTATTTCTACTGTTAAATTCTAAATAGACATAATTAGTTTATAATGTTTGACTTTGTTTCATTGTTACATTGTCGAATATTGAAAGATAGATGCTTTGAGTAATGAATTGAACCGTATACACATTAGTTACAGCCATGTAATCGTATCAAAATTACTGGAATACATACTCAGAAATCTTAATGAAGACAATGTTATCTATGATTGCAATAAAATAGTCATTTGAAAAAGATAGTATGATATATATGAAGATATTTCAAAACGAGTTGATCAAACGGTAAATTTTTCACTTATATGAATGTATTTGATTTTGAATCATTAGAACCATTTAATGAACTTTTAGAAATTTATAAGTTATGTAAAAGCATTAGATAGATTATAATTACATTGATCTACAACTCCGTCTGGAGTCCCTCCGGGGCTTTTGTCGGCCCCAAGCCCGGATAAAGAAGGAGGGTTAGGTATGGTGTTAGCGAACCCATCCTGTAGAATACTAAATTGCTAAAAAACGCTTCATTGATCTACAATTTTGATTACCTGTTCTCTAATTAGTTTAAGTTTAGACAAATGTTTCTCAAGTTCCTTATTTCTTTTTTGATCATATCTACTACGTTGGCTAAATAACTGTTAATTTTCATCTATCAAATAAACTATGATTGTATATAAGAGTGAATTATTTAATAGCTGTTAAAAATTAAATCATTTGTATGAATATTCGTCAATATTAGAACGAATCGTTTGACGAAAATTGACCACCGACTATAGAGAAGCTATTATAGATAGATAGATAGATATAGATATATCACGTCCTTCTAAGTGCAGATTGAATCCTGTCGATCAAATTACAATATGATCATCAGTCTAGGTGACTCAACATTACGTGAACTATGTTGAGATAAGATAGTAATTGGAGTTAGGCAGTATTTCCTATTGACTACTTTTAACCATCGTCTTATCTGAAAATCATAGTTGCTGGATGAAATGTTAGAATGATTTAAATTTCAGTTGCTAAGATTATTTCAAATATAATTTTCACATATAATGAATTATCGGAATGGGTTTTGTGGAGATTTTTAGAAATTTCACTGGTTGAAATCATGAGTCACTTGAAGCTAGACCATCATGGAAAACTTGGAAGCACTGGACGGCTGTTTCGTCCTAATATGGGACTCCTCAGCAGTGCCCATCCGCGGTCCCGCACCTCGCGGGATTCGAATGCAGGACCTATCAATCTCACACGCTAGCACTTAACCACTAGACCACTGAGATGGCCGGCATCCGACAGTGTTAATGTCTAACTTTAACCAATCCACGAAGTTGCGCCACCATACACTATTGTCTTCAGTGAGCTGATATCTCACAACAGACCCGGTTGAATTGTATTACTTTTCTAAATAGAAAAAACAAAACACCACCATCCTAAAAGTAATACAGCTTAATACTTAATGATATGAATAAGATCAATGGACAAAGTAAATTAATTTGATCAAAGTAATATTAAAATCAATACTTACTTTCAATGTATATTCTGTGTATAAATAGTTATTTATTATTAATGTTGTTTACAACACTTTTAAATAGTGCACATAGCACCATATATACATCTATCTATCTATCCATTATTATTATTATTGGACGATATTTATGCATCCTTTGAATTGTTAATATCTATAAATGAAAAAAAAGAAAAGTATAACAATAAAGTCTATTCTAATTAGTTATATAATTGATACAGAAGGAAGACATTTTTTTGTAATTGATGAAATGATTTTATATAAATATCAAAATTCGGATATTCAACTTTCTAGTTTCTTTTATTTAATAAAGACAATATACTTGTAGGTTAATTAAAACAAACCAAACCAAACACAATAATATGTAGATATTAGTTTAATTCTATCATATTGAATTAGTTATAAGAAAAAAGTTATTCAGTAAATAATGATTTGATTTATTCTATTAGAGTTAAAGTTTTCTTAAATCGTACGACAAGTATCGTTTCTTTAAAAAAAAAAGAAAAAAAAAGAAAAAAAAAAGAAGAGAAATATGCAGTAAATAAAAAACTCCGATTTAGAATGTTTTGATTGTGATCTAAATAATTATGATTTAATTTAATGATGAATAGTGACTAGGATTGACGATCCAAATTAAGCATTACGTTGTAATTGAAGATCCATCATTACAATTGATTGATCACTGAGTGGTGATCAATGTCTTGCTTGTCTAGTCTTTATTCAGTGCAGATCGAATGCTATCGATCATGTTGCAATGTGGCCACCAGTCTAGGTGACTCGACATTGCGGGCACTATGTATTGAGATTTGGATGGTGGTTGGAGGTAGTCAACAGGAATCCCTGGACACGGGTTTCGTGCTACTTGGCACTCGTCAGCAAGGTGTACGTGTAATCTTGAGGGAACTGGTGCTGCCTGACCGATTCGATCACGTGTCACTCAGCTTCACAGTCAGAGACGTTACCACTGAGCTATCCGAGCCGTGACTAACCTCCTGTAGGACTGAGATGTAATTACAATTGATTGATCACTGGATGGTGATCAATGTCTTGCTTGTCTAGTCCTTATTCAGTGCAGATCGAATGCTATCGATCATGAGGATCCATTGACTAGATGTACTTGTATTCCAGAGTTGATGCTCATTACTAAACTACTAGAACTCAATACTATCCATTTTAAATGTTACTGTATTATCCATTTAGTTTAAAAGTTCTGATGATCGTTAACTTGTACAATTGTGTGAAGTGTAAATTTATGATGTATTATTTCTTTTGAATCTTTCTATTGATGTTTAGAACTGTAATTGATCAGTCTCTTATAAGAATTTGTGCATCATGTTGGGATTTAGATAAACAATACAACATGATTATAGCTAATTGTTAGGTAATCACAAATTTGAGTTATAAATACATAGTTAACAATAAACGTTCATAAGAAATAATCACCAAAACATAGCAGTAGTCTTTGAAAAGATCCACTGTTGGACGAAGTCGTGTTGGTTAATGTAGACTACTAAATCAGGATCCGCTCTATTATCATCGTCGATGATTATAGACGTTGAGTGGCGCTCAGTCAGCAACAACGTAAAACTTCGTACGTACGTACATCAGTTCAAACTGCCATAACACGTTAGCAAAGAGATATAATTGTCGATTCAAATCCTACAGTGGTAGAGTTAGTAAGAGTAATATCAATAGTCGGAAAGATCAGGGTTTGAGGATGTTATTCAAGGAGTAAGATCCATTGAAATAAATTTTGAAACAGAAAGGTTAGAACACGAAATATTCAGAAGATTAGAATTTAGGAGGACACAAATAGTGGATGCACGTGCACACACCATCGCAAACGATTTTAAGCCATGTCATACATGGTCTCTTACCATCGGTTTCTATCACCTCGCGGATCCTAATCAGGTAGTCTACACCTACCGAAATGGTTCAGTTCACTTGTCAATGACTTCATGGGTTTGTGCCATGTTTTGGTCTGGTCGCTCTCAGCATTCTTCCAACCTACTACTACACCATAAAACACCGCTCGTGGGAGCAGTCGATGGTTGGGAATACGTAACACGTCCTAGTCATTTCAACTGATGAAGTTTCCCTACTTCATGAATTGATTTGCCATTCCTACTTAGTACCTGTTTCCTAATATCTACATTACCTACTCGGTGATCCCAGGATGCATGAGCAATGTTTCGAACACACCTATGATTGGATACTAGTAACTTACGAATATGGACCATGTTGTACAGCCATAAATTAGGAGGGAACGAACTGCTGTGCAGTAAACCTGTTCTTTGGTTGATAAATGGTTACCTTGGGTGATATTGCCCAAAACTAATCTCAATGAAACAGATTTATTCACTAGATTATCATAAAATACTTATCCCTTTTATTACATGAATTCATAGTGTCTATGCTCGATCTTTTCTATTTTGACAAATACATACTAGTATAGTATTTACCATTATAATTTCGTCTCTTGTAAGAAATATGAAACGCAGTATAAATGTGCCGAACTCCAAAAAGTATAAATCGTTTTATACATTTAAACAAAAACACTCAATAATAATTAACATTCATTAAACATAGTTTAAATTCATTCAAAATATCCATTCATTCATTCATTTATTTTGTAGATCATCTATCAAATCATCAAAATTAAAATGTATAAATGACCACTTATTCGAAGAGGTTTTGTGGATATGATAGTAATTTCAATGATTGAGATCATGAGTTAGTTGAAGCTAGACCACCATGGAAAACCTGGAACTACTCTTTGTCCTATTGTGAGAGTCCTATTGCTGAGACTAATGATCTGAACCATTGAAATGACTTATTCCTTGTAAATATCATGGAAGCAATGTCCTACGGATTGACTTTTTAGAATAATCGTAAAGGGTACAGAAATAATAATAATAAGTATTGGATAATATCTCTCAACTTTATTTTTTTGAATTAGATTAGTTAATGTTTTCAATTTCAGTCAATTTGATCAAAATAGCATTGATATTGTTCAATGTCATTTTGTTGATGATGGTGATATGTCTTGTGAATTTGAATGCCTTATTCGGTTCCTAAGCTATTCTGATAACCCGCAAGCTAGAACTACGCAGCGACCTGAACTCGAGAGAAAAGGCGCCAAATAAGCGAAGAAACACTTTACTCCAAAGGTTCATTTTTGTACAGAAAAACACGGGTATTTACAGATGTTAACATTTGTTAAATCACCATCATATTTTATCCAATCCACTAAAAAAAACATAATATGCTACTGACCAATAGTAGCGCGCCACGCTGATATTCTAGAAAGCTCCGTCATGCTCTGATTGGCTAGAACTCTTCGGCTTCTTTAGGGTCTCTGGAGGCTCCGTTGCATGTCTCGAAAAGCCGGCTCAACAGATAGCTGCAGAGTTACTATGAATATCATGGAACTTGACCACTGACAAGACGTCCCTTTAAATTAAACAAATCATGGTGATCTAGTTTCAAATGATTCATGATTTTAACCATCGAAATTACTATAATGTTCACAAAAACTTTCTGATATGAATCAAAATATCCTCACTAGTGATTGACTTCAAGAGGTATTTCCTGGAGTTCTATCGAGAAGCAGTAACCAGTGGAGTTCAACTGGGTCTGTTTTAAGATATTAACTTACTGAAGACATTGGTGGATGTGTCGCTCAATTTCGTGAATTGGTTGAACTTAGACATTAACACCGTTGAATGCCGACCCAATGGTTTAGTGGTTAAGCGCTCATGCGCGACATCGATGGGTTCTGCGTTTGAATCTCAGGGCGAGGTCGTGGATGCGCACTACTGAATAGTCCCACAATAGGATAGAACGATCGTCCAGTGCTTTCAAGTTTTCCATGGTGGTCTAGCTACAATCGACTCATGATCTCAATGTCCACCAACCATTGAAATTAATAATTTTATGATTACTAGTGATTTGAATAGAAGGTGAATTATTCAAGTTTTCTTAATAAGTCAGATTGATTAGTTAAGTTCAACCAAGTTGATAGTATAGTAATTACTTATCAATGATATAAGATGGGAATTATGCTAGTTGGCAAAGTGACTAAATTTGGAAATATGAATTATTTGATTTTAGCTTACTATTGTCATTGTAAAACGGTTGGTGTTACAAGTGATGATTCGATCAGCAGTTGGGTAATGGTTTATCAGTATTGGGATATCATATACTGGGGTGAAACAGTTCTCTAGTATAATTTGCTTTTTAATGGTTATCTATCCAATTTTACTACACTCAAATTATATAAGAGATATTCGATATTATCATAAACTAACATGCTTGATAAAAGTATATTGTTTATTGTAAGTAATCTTCGTCATAAATTGATATCATCAAATGAAAATTAGAAAACTCTAGATAGTTGTAGCGTTTTATCTTCAAAGTTCTTATACAGTCGAAACCTCAGTTCAACGGTAAATTCAGATCGAAATCTTCAATGCTTACTTTAAGCATAGTTTCTTTCTCATCGAGGATAAATTCAAGTTAAAATCTGTTCAACAGAGCTTTACACTTTATATACGTTGAGGTATATGGATAACAAACTATCAATTTAAATACTAAATGTTATGACTTAATCTTTTCTTGAAGTGGCTGAATAAACTAAATCAAATCTTACTAGGTTCGAACCCTGGAGTGAACGTTAACTCTGAGATGCGGGTACATCCAGCTGACAAGTCACAAATAGGACGAAACGCGCATCCTGGATTCCACTGTTAACCACTATCCATCTTTGTTTAGTAATAGGTTTTCTTTTACATTCAGTAATACAATCCAGTTTATTTATTTATTTATTTGAACACAAATACTGGTACAAGGGGGCACCAGATACATATGCGCCACACAAATATTATATGACTTGTTCGAGGGCTGTGATAATGCCCGGGTGCCCAAACTGAAGCAGGTGGTTCTCTCAGGGGGGTCACAATCGAGGCCTTCGACCTAAAGATGTGATCCACAAGGCAGTGGAGCATCGTAAGGAGATGCACTCCCATGGTAGCCGGTG